AAAATTATCAACCTACAGAGGACTGAATTCAAAGACACCCCGAAAACCAAAGTGAAAAAATGATGCAGCAGGCTAGTCCATTTTGCAGAAATTTCATTGAAGCAACTGAAAAATCGTACTCAGTAGTTTGTGTGGTCCCCACATGCTTGTATGCATACCTGACATTTTGTCAGGGCATTCTCCTAATGAGACAACAGATGGTGTCCTGGGGGATCTCCTCCCAGATCTGGACCAGGGCATCACTGAGCTCCTGGACAGTCTGACGTGCAACCTGGTGGCATCAGATGGACCGAAACATAATGTCCCAGAGGTGTTCTATTGGATTTAGGTCATGTGAACGTGGGGGCCAGTCAATGGTATCAATTCCTTCATCCTCCAGGAACTGCCTGCATTCTTTCGCCACATGAGGCTGGGCATTGTCGTGCACCAGGAGGAACCCAGGACCCACTGCACCAGCGTAGGGTCTGACAATGGGTCCAAGGATTTCATCCTGATACCTAATGGCAGTTAAGGTACCGTTGTCTAGCCTGTAGAGGTCTATGCGTCCCTCCATGGATATGCCTCCCCAGACCATCACTGACCCACCACCAAACCAGTCATGCTGAACAATGTTACAAGTAGCATAACGTTCTCCACGGCATCTCCAGACCCTTTCATGTCTGTCACATGTGCTCAGGGTGAACCTGCTCCCATCTGTGAAAAGCACAGGGCGCTAGTGGTGGACCTGCCAATTCTGGTATTCTATGGCAAATGCCAATCGAGGTCCACGGTGCCGGGCAGTGAACACAGGGCCCACTAGAGGATGTCGGGCCCTCAGGCCACCCTCATGAAGTCTGTTTCTGATTGTATGGTCAGAGACATTCACACCAGTGGCCTGCTGGAGGTCATTTTGTAGGGCTCTGGCAGTGCTCATCCTGTTCCTCCTTGCACAAAGGAGCAGATACTGGTCCTGCTGATGGGTTAAGGACCTTCTATGGCCCTGTCCAGCTCTCCTTGCCTGCAAGTTTTCTTTTACGTACTGTATACTGCAACACCACCTCCCTTCTTGCCTATCCGGTCTCTACGGAACAACGTGTAACCATCCATATTATATTCTTCACCATCATTGTTACTCATCCATGTTTCTGTTATTCATATAATGTCGTAAGAGTCTGATGGAATTAAAGCCTCTAAATCATGAATTTTTTTTCTAATACTCCTAGCATTTAAATACAGACCACAAAGGGTAGGCCTTTTACAGTGCCCATTTTTAATATTGAATAACTTTTACTTGTTTTAATTAACGTACAGTTAATATAATAAAATGCCGAGTACAATAAAACACTAAATAAAAGACTTGCATTAAAATGGAACTTTTTAAAGTATCCAATAGGGTCAGAGATAACAACCTTAGAAATTAAACTTTTAAAATAACCGAATTAACACTTACTAACCTGATAATAACTTCCTACTGAAAAAAAAAAAATAACAACGAACACCCACGCAACCGTACAGGCACACAAACACTCAAATATACTTCAAAATAATCCAATCAACCACTTCAACAGGCACACAATACAACACAAGTGCACACAGCGGTGTCTACACCACTCCCTCACAGTGCAGCAAACCCAGCAGCCTCTACACCACTCCCTCACAGTGCAGCAATCCCAACAGCCTCTACACCACTCCCTCACAGTGCAGCAATCCCAGCAGCGTACTATCCAAAAAGCTCCCAAAGCCTACAGACAGATTTTGGTCGTTGTTCAGACCAACTACTTTAAACTGATGGGATTTAGCATAATATGAGACTGAGATTAGTAAGATTGAGATGAAATGAACAAATTATAACCCAGCACCAATACTAGATGTCCTAAGTGGCTTGACAAAAGTGGGATGTACATAAAATCTGTATAATGGACCAGATCCCAAACTTTGAAATGAACAAAAAAATTACTTCTTATTTACAGTATATACACAGGATTAGCTACAGTGTTATGTTCAGTCAAAAATGAAATCAGAGAAATTTTAAATACTGTCTGTTGTCCCAATTCTAATTATTGCCTTTGACATTATTGTAATCAAAGCTTCCTAAACAGGGTGAAAAAATAAAAATGTCTTCTATACCAGAGATAACATAAACAATCACGATCACAACATTATAGCTCTCACACAACTGAGACAAGCTCCTAATCATTAAGAAGTGCATTCTGTATAATGGCAGTCTCAAAGCCTGCAGTGTTGAAGCTTGCTTCATCAATACACCCCTCATGAACAGACCAAATTGACTTACTTGTGCAGAATGTTGTGCAGGCTGGATCACTCTCCAGTTCACTGTCTTCTAATACAGTGCACACAGTGATCTTGTACTTCCTTCCTGGTCTCAGGTCAGACAGCACTGCATGGTTCTCCACTGTGGTGATGGACTTGCTTGGTTGGCCAGTGCTCAACCAAGTCACGCGAAATTTATGTGGAACACCTGCCACGTCTGATGGTTTCTTCCATCCAACGATGACAGAAGTTAGATCCATAGAGTAGACAATCAAACTTTGTGGTGTGGAAGGTTCTGATTGTAAAAGGGAGAGACGTCATAAATGCAAAATCTATTAATCTGGTTCAAAACTGCATGATCTATATGAAACTGTATAAAACCACAACACCAATTGCATTTGTGCACCGCTCCAATTTTTAAATTATAAACAAAGTTTTCAATATAGCAGACTGAATTTTAGAAGCAGTAGCAAAAAAAATGTTGCCTGCAAAAATGTGATATGAAACTCATTGACGAAATGAACAAGAAACAAGTTCCTGTTAAGCAAAATTCAGCGTGATGAGTTTAAATGAGTTACCTACTTGTGGACACGCATATTGACTTTTCTCTGCTTCGGCTTCCAGTCTGAAGCACTGTACCAATGATAAAGCTGTACTCTGTTCCAGGTTTCAGATCCCACAGAGTGACTGTGTCAGCACTGGATTCCAGTTCCACTGATTTTTGCTGCTCTCCATTGCAACCGTAGGTGACGATGTACTGATAGCTGAGGTCTTCCATGCCGGCCGGCCTCTGCCAGCAAAGTGTCACTGAAGTGCTCCTCACTTCCTCTGCCTTTAAGCTCACAGGTGGAGATGGTTCTGAACAAAACACAAGACAGGAACTGGATCTCATGTGCTACTTAAATCGGTATTTGTAAATGAGGTTAGCAGAATCATTTATTTTTTTTATGATTCAGTCTAGTTTACACAATGAAGTCATGTAACATAAACACAGTGAATTGCAACAAATACGACAAAAGAGCAGTTTGGCTTTCAAGCTGTTAACTAAATATTTAAGAGGGAGTAATTTGATGGTTTCTTTAATAAAATAAAAATTTATTTCAGTGGATTCAATTAATGTGTTTGTTGCACAACACAACAAAAAAAAACAGCTGCAGGTTTAAACAAAAGTTTAGCTAATAAATGTTTCTGGAATTGCATGCCACCTGAGGAAACAGTTACCGCCCTTGGGAATGAGTAACAGATGACGATAACTGTATCAGAAACACTGCATCCTAAAATGAATGATTACATTTATATGGAAAGAGATCAGTAACAGTGCATGTCATGTTACTCTCCAAAGGGATGCAAGATGGAAACACAAGGAAATATATGTATCATTTAAACCCAGAGCTCTGAAAGGCAAAGCACATCTTCTCACCTGTACACACACGAGCAAACGCACACTCGCTTTGGCTGTCATCGGTCCCAATAGTGACCACACTGAATACATACTCTCTGCCCGGAGACAGGTTCTCTATGGTCACATTCCTGTCTTTCACGTTGAGGTGTTTCTTCATCCCTTTGAAGTCCCAGGTAACCATATACTGCTCTGGGTGGCCCAGCATCTCCACTGGTATCTGCCAGCTCAGAGTCACAGAGTCAGGAGTCACGTTGTCGATCGTAAGATCCTGTGGTTGGGGGAGTTCTGGTACAGAAAGTACAACGTATTGTATTTATTTAAAATTAATCATCAAGTTTACATAACATGTATCAGTTAATTTAAACAGCTTATATGGGTGATTTTTTCAGTCTCAGATCATTTAAACTTTTTTTTAACCCCCATCAAAACTTCCTAGTTAAAACTGTCATTGAACAGCTTACTTAAAAATGTAAAAATAATATTTCTATCACAAACAATGGTAAAACATTGGTATTTCTTGTCATATTCAGTCAGATTCAAAGAAACAAAATACTGTGTGTTGCTCCCAAGTCTCTATCTAACCAATTCCTTTTCACATTGTACATTGACAGCTTTCTAAAAATGATGATGAAATTAAAATGTCTTCTATATCACAGATAATATAACCAGCGCATTCACAACATTATAAACATCACACAACTTATGACAACCTCCTAATAATTATATCACATTAAAGAGGTACATTCTACAATGCAGCCTGAAGGTCTGCAGCCTTGCAACTTGCTTTATTATTGCAGCTCAACGATATACTAAACTGACTTACTTGTGCGAAATGTTATGCACGCTGGATCACTCTCCTGATCACTGTCCTCTAAGACAGTGCACACAGTGACCTTGTACTCCGTCCCAGGTCTCAAATCAGGAAGCACCACCTGGTTTGCTTCTGTAGTGATGGACTTGCTTGGTTGGTCACTGCTAAGCCAAGTCACTCTGAATATATGTGGAACACTTTCCATGTCTGATGGTTTCTCCTTGCTGGTAACATCAGAAGCAAAAAATAAATTTCTTACAGGTTTTCTCGCAGCATGATATTATCAGCATTCTCAGAATAACCAGCAACCAGACGAAATCGATTCTAATTAAGCAGGATATCTGGAACAGGTAAGGATTATCCCATTCCATATCCTCAACCATAGAGACTTTCCATGCTGAAAT